CACTAGAATAACAGTTCTTACAGAATTGTCTGATGACTTCCCAGGTACATAATCAATTGTGCTCTTTGGTTTTGCGGCTGTTTTTACTGTTTGGAAATGTTTGATGGAAAATATTCAGATATAATTAATGATAGAGTTATAATTCTAATTTCTGAAATCTTTTGTATTGTTCATAAGCCTTTAAGCCAGTGCGATGATGAGCATTTTGGCGATTGTACTTTGTGCTGGCTGTAGGGATCTCAAATGGAATGGTTTACCACAGTGGGTGTTGGTCAGTAGTTCAAAGCTATCCATTCACTACTACTATGGGAACTCTCTCCTCGCCGGCCTTCCCGCCACCTCCCTCCACAAGCTGCAGGTCATTCAGAACTCTGCAGCTCGTGTACTGTCCCGCACCAGGCTTCGGGACCACATCACTCCCACCCTCACCCTCGCCCTCGCTCGCCTCCACTGGCTCCCCATCCCCCAGAGGATTGATTTCAAGATCCTCATCCTCACCTACAAGGCCATTCACGGCCTCGCTCCCTCCTACCTCTCCAACCTACTATCCCCCTACCTACCTGCCCGTACCCTCCGTTCCTCTGGCTCCGGTCTGCTCCACGTCCCCCGCCCCAACCGCCCTACTATCGGTGGTCGGGCCTTCAGCCTCTCAGCCCCGAGGCTCTGGAACTCCATCCCCCAGTGCCTTCGCCGCTTCCTCCCTTTCCTCCTTCAAGGCCGGTCTCAAAACCTTTCTCTTTGACCGTGCCTTCAGCTCCCTCTCGACTCTCTTCCCCCTCCTCGCTCCCTCCCTTCCCTCCCCTCACCCTGACCATTTCCCCCTCCTTGCTCCCTCCCTTCCCTCACCCTGACCATTTTCCCCCTGCTCGGGTCATGACCCAACTGTGCAGCGCCTTGGGACGTCCTCCTGACGTGAAAGGCGCTTTATAAATGGAATCTTGTTGTTGTTGTTGTTGTTGTACTACTACTACAGTAACTGGCAATTTAATCAGGATTTAAGATCTAGGGTAGAAAGCAGCGAACTTCATATTGGTACAGTAGAGGGTATTTTTTTCATAGTTAATGCATTTTGTATGAGACCTGCAAGCGAGTTCAAACTTTGAAAAGTGTCCTGGCCATCAATCAACCCCTCCCTTAAAAAATCGGTCACTCACTCCATGGCTGTTCAAACTGGCTGCTACATTTCGCCCACAAAATGCAGTCAATCCACTTTCCAAGGCTTCGAGATGTCTCAACGACGTGATAAGGCACTATAACAAATGCAAGTATTATTTTTATTATTATTATTATTCCTAGCATCACTTCCTTTCACAATTGCAATTATTTTATACTCACCCCTCCTGAAATAATTTTGTAAAATTGAGGTGTAATTTGAGGGCATCCGAGAAAAAGGCGGGTACGTTGGAGTGAATGGATTTGCTCTTTCAAATACAATTCAAATTACAATACTAATTCACAGATGTATGGCGCCTTTCACGTCGGGAGAATGTCCCAAAGAGCTTACACTGCCGGCTGGGCACCCGAACCGGAGGTGGGAGCTGAGAGCCATGGAGACACTATAAGCCGAATGGTCTTCTCCTGTGCTGTAAAGTTCGATGTCTAAGAAAGGCTAACATTTGTAATTGTCAACTGACTCTTTCGCGACTTGTCATTCGTGAGACGGAAAATCCAGCCCTTCCCGTATCGAACAGTCTGCTTGCAGATTCTGCACACGATAAACTGCTCCTGAAAGAAACAAATGGAAGGAACAGAATTACACAAGCAACTAGAGCGGACTGTGCATGCAACAGGGATTCAGACTGTTCGCTCCCACCATCCATCAGTAATGTACAGAAAACACCCACACCTGCCTTAGGCAGATTCTTTCCTTGCACAGCGTGCCTAACCCACGCTAGTGAAGCCTGACCCCTACGGGATAACCCTGTAAATAGCAACTGCAACCGGGATTTAAATTGTTCTCCCTGATTGGAGTCAGGTCACTGTTCTGCACCTCCAATTGTGGGAACCATCGTTCAATGGGAAGGGATGTGCGCCCGAGCTGCTGACGGGAAGATTGCTGTACGGCAATGCTCTCACGTATTTCATGCTGAGATGCATTGCCCACCGGGAAACTCGCACTCGAGGTCCTTGCACTATTATCCACCTAGTGAGGATCAAATCCACACTTGTCGGATGTCCAACGATCTACTAGTGATTATCCTCCTTGGGGGAGAAAGTAAGCGGGGGTCTCCTTGGAGCTGAACTGGTTCCAAGGTGACATCTCTGGCAATGCTAGAGTCCTAGCATTGTGGAGTCCTGTAACTCAGTGGTTAGAGTACTCGGTTTGCAAGCGAGCGACCTGGGTTCAATTCCAGGCAGAGGGCGAAACCTTGGGCAAGTTTCCTTACTCCACACAGAGCCTAATAATAATCCCTCCAAAACTAAAAACAATAATAAATTGGTCATTTTCAATCTACGACTGTTTGTGGGACATTGCTGTGCGCAATTGGCTGCCGCGTTCGCCCACAAATATACAGTCAATTCACTTTACAGTATATTCTGTGAAGCGCTTTGGGACGTCCTCCTGACGTGAAAAGCCCTATATCAAATGCAAGGATTATTATAGGATTATTAATGCAATGTTGAATTCCAACGTCTGAGGCGGTCTCGGTAGTCCAGTTCCTGAGCCAGACGGGTCCGCAGTATTCCAGAACAGTGACAGCCCAGCCTGGCTCATCGGTAGGACCTGGAAGGACAGACCAGTCACTGGGGACAGGGAGTCATCCCACTCAGCTCCTATTAACCCTGCAAGCCAAAGCCCTAACAAGTAGGGTGGTCACTATTCCGCAATTATAACCCAGCGGTGAGCGTCATTTTATTGTGCTTAATAAACTGCATATTTTATTGAAGCAAAATAAAATTTACATTTCACTCAATCGTATTTATACTTTAAATAGAACTTAATCTAATTTATCTGAAGCAGTGAAACACCAGGTTTGGATCATCTGCCAAATTCAGCAACACACAAAGTACAGGGGAGATTTGACCAGATGTGACCAGATTTCAGGTCAACTGGTAAGATTTAATACCTTTCTAGGAGGTTGCTACTTAATATTGAGAAAAGTCTTCAAATGTTTCCATATTAATCATCCAGGAAGCGATTGAACAGATGCATTTCACCACAATCTCTGCTCCTTAATGGAGGCATCCTTATGGACCCGTAAGGATTATGATTATTATTAATACTGAACTCCAAGAGAGTAGAGAACTGCAAATCCTCATCAACACTAAGGTGGCAGGAATCGGACAGTCACATCAACATCATAAAATACTTTACTGAACCGTTGAGTTGGAATATTCCATCACGGAATGATGTAACACCACTGTCTCCACCAAATACTGAGATTCTGGAAATAGACATTTTATATCTATATATATGTATAATAGTACTACCTCTCTAACTCTCTTCAAGCAGCAAGTCAACAATACCAGAAGAACTGGAGAACAAGAATACTAAGATAGAACAGATTCACTCTCTGTGTAGATCCGCAGCTGACCCTGAATTATTCAAATTCATCTAAAAAGTAATCCATGTGCACTATCTGAGCTCTCCCATTCAGTATCAGGAGATACAATACTGGCCTTTTAAAGTAGCTTTGCCTTTGGTGGAAGAAAACGAATGAGATTCTTGAGGCTGCTCTGGCGCTAATGAATTGCAGAGTATTTCCGGAGATGCCCTGCCGTGACAGTGACCTAGGTTTCTGGCCATTGTTGGGAAGATCAGCCTTTGGAGACTCTCGACGGGCTTTGAACATTGGTTGGCAGATCCGGTGATTCAGGGCTACAAGTCGTCTTGTCTTTCCAGCAACAAATCATCAGTGAAACTCTGGAGAAAGTCCCTTTGTGTATTTGTCCTTCACAAATATTTTCCAGAGCAGTGGTTCAATTAACTGAGGTCTCAATCGATGACCAATAACAAGAGTTATGGCCACATGCGGCAATAGAATGATCCATATCAATAAATGTTAGTATATGTCACAACGTGTTTGCGTGTCTGTCCGCCAAGAACGCAATAACCGATTGACGTAGAGACATTATTTGTACCTCATCGGAAAGGTCTTGCATGGGGGAATGTCATGGGCATATTTTTTTTGGGGGGGGCGATCTCCTATCATTGATGAGCTACGACCTAAACAAGTTCATCACACATGTATGTCAGTTTTGATTGAGGTGCCCACATAGGGTTTACGGCGTGTGAGGGGGGGGGGGGCGAGGTCTGGTGTGTGTGGGAGGCGCGGGGACTGGTGTGTGGGGGGTGGGGACTGGTTTGGGGGGGCGGGGACTGGCGTGAAGGGGGCGGGGACTGGTGTGAGGGGGCGGGGACTGGTGTGAGGGGGCGGGACTGGTGTGAGGGGGCGGGGACTGGTGTGAGGGGGGCGGGGACTGGTGTGAGGGGGAGGTGGGGACTGATGTGAAGGGGGCGGGGACTGGTGTGAGGGGGCGGGGACTAGTGTAAGGGGGCGGGGACTGGCGTGAAGGGGGCGGGGACTGGTGTGAGGGGGCGGGGACTGATGTGAGGGGGGCGGGGACTGGCGTGAGGTGGGCGGGACTAGTGTAAGGGGGCGGGGACTGGCGTGAAGGGGGCGGGGACTGGTGTGAGGGGGCGGGACTGGTGTGAGGGGGCCGGGGACTGGTGTGAGGGGGCGGGGACTGGTGTGAGGGGGCGGGGACTGGCGTGAGGAGGGGCGGGGACTGGCGTGAGGAGGGGCGGGGACTGATGTGAGGGGGCGGGGATTGGCGTGAGGAGGGGGGCGGGGACTGGCGTGAGGAGGGGGGCGGGACTGGCGTGAGGAGGGGGCGGGGACTGGCGTGAGGAGGGGGGCGGGGACTGGCGTGAGGAGGGGGGCGGGGACTGGCGTGTGGTGGTGACGCGCTGCGCGGGGGCGCGCGGTCTCGGGGCGGCGCGCGCCGGAGCGCGGGGCTGGAGGCTGGAGCGCGCGCGGAGGGAGCCATGGGCGGGTGTGTGGGCTCCCAGCGCGGCTCCGCGGGCAGCCTGACCGAGGCCTCGGACACGGCGGGAGGTGAGAGCGGCCGCGGGGGCCTGAGGGCCGGGCGGGGGGGGAGGAGCGGGAACGTGAGGCCGGGGCTGCGCTGCAGATAGGCCGTCACACAGGCCACCGGGAGCCGCGGAGCCGCCAGCGGCAGCCCGGGGCCTCGGCCTAGAGTGAGTGTGAGTGTGTCCTCCCCCCCCCCGGCCCCGGGGATGACTGTGAGGCCCGTCACTGGGGTGGGGGCTGTTTGCTGTCAGCGTCTACAGGAGGAGCAATGGCTTTAGTTCAGGACTGTGGGTCTCTCTGTACGTGTCTTTGTGTCTGTGTATGTGTGTTTCTGTGTGTGTGTGTCTGTGTGTGTGTCTGTGTGTGTGCATGTGTGTGTATATGTGTGTGTGTGTGTGTGTCTGTGTGTGTATATGTGTGTGTATATGTGTGTGTGTGTGTATGTCTGTGTATGTGTGTGTCTGTATGTGTGTGTATATGTGTGTGTGTCTGTATGTGTATATGTGTGTGTGTCTGTATGTGTGTGTATGTGTATGTATGTGTATGTGTGTCTGTGTAGGTAATAATACAGTAAATAATAATAAGAATCCTTGCATTTTTCGTACAGAGTCTTATCGCGTCTTTGAAACGTCTCAAAGGCCCTTCTTCACAGAGTACACTGTGGGTCACAAGCAACACTGTACACTGATCTCCGTGACGGGCCTTCAGCACTCCACAACACAATGCACTTAAACATTGGGCATTAGTTCTGGAGACCGGGATTCATTCACCACAGAAGTTTCAGCGAGGTTCAAGTGCTCTGGGACACTACCCTGCGTGAGGGGCGCTATGTATACATGCACAATAACAACTTGTCAGTTGTTATTTTGCTGCTCCATTTCCTGCAGATTGCCAGCAAGCTGTATCCGTATAAACTTAGAGGGGTATATATAATTACATATGCACAACAACAGCAACAGAATTACATTGAAAGAGCGCCTTTCGTGTCGGGAGGACGTCCCAAAGCGCTGAATAGTCAGATGTCGGGGCCCGAGAATGGGGGAGGGGTGGTGTAGGGGTGAGGGAAGGCAGAGAGGTGGGAGGGAGACTGAAGGCACGGTCGAAGAGAAGGGTCTTAAGACCGGCCTTGAAGGAGGTAAGGGAGGAAGCGAGGCCAAGGGACCGTGGGATGGAGTTCCAGAGTGTGGGGGCAGAGAGGCTGAAAGCCCGGCCACTGATGGTAGGGTGGGAGACATGGAGCAGCTCCCGATGAACAGAGGGAGCGGGAAGGTTGATAAGGAGTCAGCAGGTCAGAGAGGTAGGAGGGGACAAGGCCTTGGATGGCCTTAAAGATGTGGACGAGGATCTTGAACTCGATCCTCTGGGGGATATGGAGCCAGTGGAGTTGGGCGAGGGTGCATCTGTAATATATACATTTATATTCATTACTTGTTCATTTCCTCCAGTGGAACAAGTATCTCCTGGTTGCCTGCTACAGCTGCTTCAACGACAACAATAACAACTTGCATTTATATAGCGCCCTTCACACCGGACAGTGTCTCGGAGTGCTCACTACACTAGTGAGACGGCTTGTTCATTTCATGGTTGTTGTCAACACAGGCCTGGACTGTTTCTTTCTGTCATCATAATATTATAATGCAATACATTATATCTCTTCCTGTCTTCATATTATTAATAATAATAATGTCTTCCTGTCTTCATAATAATAATAATCTCTCTTCCTGTCTTAATAATAATAATAAGATGTCTCTTCCTGTCTTCATGATAGAATGGTTCACATTGCTACTAGAATGAGAACCCCTTCCCCAAGGGTAATTGATCTTGGATCAGTCAGGTTAGGATCAGTGGGCCAGTGATTGTGCAAGTTGACTTGAACACAGGGCAAAAGCCTCAGTAAAGAAATGAGTCAAATAGTAAACTCGGTTGTTTTTCTTTTACAGGGAAGCCTTCTCTGAGGGAATTCAAATGGCCACAGAAAAGTCCAGTGTGAGAGTAGGTGATGTGTTAGTTTTAGTGAGATTTTATAACCTTAAAAATATAGTTTTAGAGAAAACAACATTGTAAGATTGGTGAGAGTGACAAAGAATATGTGGAGGGGGGTGAGGGTTTGAAGTAAATCCAGATGGCACAACTTCTTCATCCTGTGGAGTACCTTATGCTCTAGATCCGCACAGGTCTGTCATTTGCAATCTTCCAGGTTTGAAAGCATTGCCCCTTTGCCAGATTTGAGTGAAACAGATTTCTCTCCCTGTCATTCAGGAAAAGTTTCTGGTGCTCTAGGGTCTGATTTTGGAGTAGTGCAAACATATTTTCTTTCCTCTCCATTTCTCTGTTCTATTGGATCCATGAACTTCACTCAGAAACACCCAATCAATGGGTATTGATGTTTTGTGCTTTTTAGCAGTGGGCTTTAATTCTCAGTTTCTAACATACAGGAACTTTAGCTTTAACAGTACCATTTTATTTTTTGATGCAGATTCTTGCTTTGTAATGTTTGGATATATAAATATTACAGAACGTTAGAATGTACAGGAGACAAATCCTTTGCTTTAAAATCTTTTAGCAAAGTACTTTATGTTCAAACATATTCAAAATTAGCTTTTTTTTTCTCTGGATGAACTAATAGTTCAAACAATTTACAAGTAGCCATGTTATGCTCTTCATATTTGCACAGCATTTTCCTTTTTTTCTGCATAATTTCAGAATTTATGATTTCCAGACTTCCAGCTTGTACTGCTTTCTTTTGGAATTTAATTTTATGATAACAATACTTCTGATGAATAGAACATGTTGCAATGCACTGCCAACTATAAAACCTTTGAACAGATAGCTGCAATATGTTCTACAGTAAAATATGCTCTTTTCTCAGCTGTTCTGCTTGGATGGATTTGTTAGCAGCAGATTCCAGGATAGTGATTGTAGTGCCAACAAAAGTAAATTGTATTTATCAAGAGGTTATTGTGTAATTAAATGTACTCCCACCAAAAGGAACACTTGTGTGGCTGTGCAAGCCTGACACGAAGATTGCAGCTGCATTCTCCCCACGTGCTACTGAAGCAGCTGTGATGAATGCAATGGCTTCACTCTACAGCTGGTCCTGCTGTTGATTTTTAATTATGAACAATGGTCATCAATACGAGTGAGATCTTATTAAATTTAGTTTTTCTCAGATGGGATAACTTCAGGTATACAAATCGGTTGCTTCCTAGTTTATTATAGAAGCATTTTATTTACAATGTTAGCTGTTCTATCACATATTGAGATAACGGATGTCATTATTCAACTCATACCAGAATAATTAAGTCACACCTTGCTCTGAGTAATCTATAAAGGGTTATTACTGCCGATTTACAAGAAGATGATCTAAAAATATGTTTGTGCCTTTTAATATTCACCGAACAAAGAGGTGGGGAGTGAGGAATAGTTATTCTGGCTCAGGTGTGTTAAGCACAGAGTTTTTTCAGGAATTTGACCACAGATCAATTTGACCACAGGTCAAATGGTAACTATTAAAGTTGGTAGATTTTAACCTAGATATTCTATTTATAGTAAATGGAATGAATTCCCTTTCATTGAGTTGTACGTATTAGTGTTTTGTGAAATAATCAAATCAAAGAAATAATCAAAGAATTCAGAGGACATCCCCTAAACTCCCCACTCTTTGCTCCTGGTTTTTCATTTGCACCCCAAGGTTAGGTTGCAGCCATGTATTTCCAGCTGGCCACTATATTTAAAATACTAAATATATTGTGATGGATAAGCCGGAGGCTCGAGTAAGATGTTACACTGTCCGCTTTGTGTTCAAATCTTCCTGAAAACTTTTCAGGTTTCTCATTTTCACAAATTATTGCACAAGTGTTTTACTTTTTTAAAAAAAAAGTTCCTATGTTTTTGTTGACAAAAAGAGAAATTCTAAGTGTTCAGTTTTAAAAAAATACACATTTTGTGGTTTACATGTGGTGGATCTGGGTTGCAATGTATTCAGTGTGAAAAGGTGCTGTAAGACAGCTGGTTCTTCAGTTTTATTCTTCACAGTTCTATTCTTCCTGGCATCCCCAATTCTTGGCTTCCACCAACATACGCTTAATACTCTCTGGAATTAGAGAAGCAGATTACTTCCAGGGGGAGGCTACACATTTCAATCCAGATGCACAGAAATGTCGGCATATGGTTTGGATACTCTTAAGCAACAACAATAATAAATTACACTTCTATAGTGCCCTTCGGGTCGGAAAGATGCCCTAGGGTGCTAGACACTCAGGGTTTTTTGGACCCGAGTTGGGGTCAGGAGGGGTGGAGGGTAAGGGGGGTTGGGGGTGGGAGGGTGGCCGAAGGTACGGTTGAAGAGGAAGGTTTTTAGATGGGACTTAAAGGAGGCAAGAGACGGGTTGAAGAGGAGGGATTGTGGGATAGAGTTCCAGGGTATGGAGGTAGGGATGCTGAATGCTCGACCGCCAATGGTCGGGCGTGTTGCATGGTGATGGATAAGATGGTGTTTTTCTATGCGTTTCTCCTCTATTTGTAAACTCGCGCTCTGCAAGCATTGAGCCGTTGAAAGAGACGTTAGAAACCTGGGCGAACACTGGAGATGGTCTTACGTTGAAAGACTATTTGCAGCCACAGAAATCAGACCCTAATTTTAGTAGCCAATTAGGTTGTTCTCTCCATTAATGTAAAACTGCGTTCTTCAAGACCTTTTCTCAGTCAACTAGTGGCCTTCGGAATCACTATTCCATTTCTTCAATAAAAGCCCTCTCCCATCTAAATCTATCGTGGAATGTGAACAGGACATTTAATTATTGAAGTGAGACTCCACTGGTTTAAAATAGTCAAATCTAAATTGAAACACATCTTGAGATACAGCTGCTCCTGCCAACTTTAACCAGTGTCGTCAGTCTTGTCACATGCTGTGTCCCGTGAACAAACTGCCTGCAGTCGGGGGGGGCGTCTCTGCTTGCTAATTCAGGCTTCTTTCTGTTGTATTGGAACCATTTTTGCTAACTGCGATGGCAGTTACTGTGAAGCACTTTGAAACATTCCTTCCTCTATGGTATGGGAACAACCTTCACTGCCAGCAATCCACAATTCCTTTCCCTTGCATTGGACCAGTTCAGGGTTCTTACATTATTAAGTTGCATATTTCTGTGGCTCGCGGACCCTATCTCTTTTCCCCCTCCCGACTGCTTCTCGAGTTGGTCCATGAGGACATCTCATAATGTCGCAGGCACAGTGTGCTGAATCTCCTTTTCTAATTGTACAGATTTGTTTTGCTGGCGTTTTGAGAGAAGTGATTTGCTTCTGGTACATATTTTTGCTAATAGAGGTCTTGTGGTGGTCTTGTGCTGTGATTTCAAAAACTAGTCACCTGAAACTTGCTTTTACTGGTGTAGGAATACATTACTTTATAATAATAATAATAATCCATGCATTTGATATAGCACCTTATCACGTCTTTGAGGCGTCTCAAAGCGCTTCACAGAATATTACTGTAAAGTGAATTGACTGTATATTTTGTAGGTGAAATATGGCAACCAATTGCATACAGCAGTGTACCACAACCAGTTGTGGATTGAGTCACTATTTTTTTGAGTGAATTTTTTTAAGGGATTACTACCCTCGCAAAAGAGATCTACCAATCAACCAACAACCGGGTTCCTACTTACTGCTAGGTAAACAGAGGCGTTTGGAGCAAGGAAGCTTGCCCAATATTTTTCCCTGCCCGGGAATCAAACCCAGGTCCTCTCGCTTGCAAGGCAAGCACTCTAACCACTAAGTTGCAGGACTTCACTTTGACTCTCTGTGGGTTACAGTAGGTTTAAATATTATTACAAACTATTACAAATTGTCTTTTTTTGTTTGTTTCAGTGGCTTTGGGGCGCAATCAGCCCCTGAAGAAAGAAAAGCCCAAATGGAAAAGTGATTATCCAATGACAGACGGACAGTTACGCAGTAAGAGAGACGAGTTCTGGGACACGGCTCCTGCCTTCGAAGGTCGAAAGGAGATCTGGGATGCTCTCAAGGCTGCAGCACATGCTTTTGAAGGCAATGATCATGAACTCGCCCAGGCAATCATTGATGGTGCAAATATAACCCTACCACACGGTAGGTGCAGTACCTCTATATATATATATACATATATGTGTGTGTGTATGTTGCACTTTAGTTATCTTTATTACATCCCCACTTTATTACATCCCCACATCCTGAGTCCTGCAAATGAAGCTCCTGAGTATAAAATAACAGTATAGTAATTCAATTGTGAAACAATGGATTAGATGTACGTGTAACGCACACCAGGTTGAAATGAGTTCTATGGGTTTTCAATCAATAACTGATTTGGTCACTAATTATGCTCCTGGAATTTTTGAGAGCTTTTCATAATCTGTCGATGCTTATTTAATTTTGCATTCAAATGTTTTGTTTGAATTGGAAGGAATACCAATCTCATATTAGGAGACAAAATCACTGGGTCATTCCAAATATTGTGTCATTTTGCAATATTAAAAGTGCTTTATCAAGAAGCTGCACTGTGTAAAATGCAGCCTATTATTATTTTTGTTACCTGTGAAATGTGTTACCATACAATTGCAAATTGCTTTTTAAATCTTTTATGATATTGAGCAATTAAAACTTTAAAAAATAGAAAGTTAGGGGAAATGACGTGTGGAAGTCTGATTATGAGGCCAAAATTTGAAAAAGTCACTTGGAAAAGTCATCAATCTTGTGCTCAGAACAAAATTGTGGCATTAAACGCTTTCCCAGCACTGTATTGTTATAGCATCTTGTGTGAATTTTCCTTGTATGTGATATTGTGATTGTCAAAGGTATTCACATCAATTCTCAATAATATGTGAATAATAGCACAGTCACTGACTGATAAAGATCGTAAAACAAACTGCAAAGTGCTCCAACTTGTGTTTTTGCCTTTACCAAACTAAAATAATATTAATCCTTGCATTTGATACAGCGCCTTATCACAACTTCCAAGACGTCTCAAAACGCTTCACAGAATATACTGTAAAGTGAATTGACTGTATATTTTGTGGGCGAAAGGCAGCAGCCAATTGCGCACAGCAGCGTCCCACGAACAGTCGTGGATTGAAGTGACCAATTTATTATTATATTGTAATGTGAGCACAAGGAATTAATACATACCCATCACATTTCAGCTTTAAACTCTTAATGACTGAATACCCTAGTATGCATATTGACTTAACGGGTTGAGTTGAGATTCATATCTTTGCAAACATTACAGAGAGACTGGTGTGAATGAAATGTGCTGTCTTATTTATAACAGTGGACTTGAAATTAAGTATGAATATTAGAAAGTCTCCTTTATTTTTGAAAATACATTGACATTGCTAAGTTGTTTATATGGTCACTTTTGTATGTCTTGTAACCGATAGATTTTTTTTTTTGGTGGGGGGGCTACAAACAGGTGTGACTTGTTCTATCTTTTCATCCAGATTTAATATTGGTTTAATCCGGTTTAATATTTCATTCGGATTAATAAGCGGTCTTCGTTTTACTACAATTAAGAATCGGTCGTATTTCACTTACTGCGTGCAGGAGAAAATTAAATGGTTCGAATTTTAAAGGTTAAATCAGACATGCTGTAAAATGTTTATAATGTATATTTAACCTTTGGGATGGATATTTTATGTTTGTTTTCCACTCTTCAAACGCAGGAGCCCTTACCGAATGTTATGATGAGCTGGGGAATAGGTATCAGCTTCCAGTCTACTGCCTAGCACCTCCGATCAACATGATTGAAGAGAAAAGTGACTTAGAGACACTAGACATCCCTGAACCACCTCCCAATTCTGGACACGAATGTCAGCTCAGACTGCGTCTCTCTACAGGCAAGGACTTGAAACTTGCCGTCCGCAGCACGGACACGGTTTATCATATGAAACGGCGTTTGCACACAGCGGAGGGAGTCGAGCCCTTCAGCCAGCGATGGTTCTTTTCTGGCCGACCTCTGACAGACAAAATGAAATTAGAGGAACTGAAAATTCCTAAGGACTATGTGGTGCAGGTCATCATCAGTCAGCCTCTGCAGACCCCGACCCCTGTGGAAAACTGACTGTCCTTTTCTGACCCCTCCCTCCCTCATTAGGCTTTTTTTTTACCCTTTCTACACAAGAACTTGTATTGAATATCACTTGTGTGGTCCCATCTGTGATGAGGCCTTCTGCAATGGTGATCTTGTGGATGCATTTAAGTGTAGAGCAAACCAATCTAGCCAGAGAGCGACTCAGGAGAGGCTCAAGTTCATTCTGATCCTTCAACGGATGCATTACATTGAACATTTCAGATTTCTTTTTGACAACTGAAAGTGTTTCCTTAAGTCACAAAGTTGCAGGTAGTCCTTTATTTGCTTATCTCGTCCATCTTTCAGATCTTTCAATTCAGGGACGTAGTTATGTCCGTGGAAACGTTTTTTTTTAAATAGAAGGTGTGACTTCACTATTTTAGCTGCAGTGCTACAGTGTTCAGTTGTGAAAAAAATCCATATTTTTAACAATATTTTGTAAACGTTTTGAGCAGCAGTTGGAATAATGTGTGAGACTGAACCACGTGGAAGTTTTTTTTTCAAGGTTTCGATTATTATTGATGAAATACAGTGTTACTTTCAGCAGGCGCACATGTTGTAGGAAATTGAGCCTCTTTATTCATAAAATACTGACTAACATTTGAGAATTTAGAATACAGCATAATGTATGAATCTCTACTGGAATATCCTGTTAATAAAGAAATCTAATTGTTCTACAGGATCCAGGTTCAGGGTGCTGGAAGCTTTTTTTTTATCCTAGCATAATAGATGACCAATGTTTACAAGTTTAAATTGACATAAATTAGTTCGTTAGATGTGTTGAGTTGAGGTTTTAAAATTCTCGACAGAGGCACTAGGTGGAATGTCTTACACTTGCACAGTATTCAAATTTCAGGAAGAAGTGACAATGGCTCACTCAAATAGACCTGGTTATTAAATAAGCGTGTCAGTGAGAGCCATTCGCAAACATAGAGATACTTGTAGAGCTTGCCTTTGCTTCACGTCAGAAAACATCAATTTGAATGTTTAATATTACTTCAGCTGTTCTGTTTTTTTCCCTAGTTTGATTACCATTCTATAGTTTTGTACAGTGGAAGGAAAGGTTTGTCTGAAGTGAGGCACAGTTGACTTTCCCTTTTAAGTTTCTATTTGCAATCGGCAATATAGGAAAGTACCTAAATATTCTGCCTCTTGCACAAGACAGCCTGGTTAGATGTTTGTTACCCACATTTTTACAGTGTTACAAGATTGTTAGCCAAATCCCTGGTGACCAATCCTAAAACTTTCTGAAAGGTTCAGTCTTACTGACTTAAACTGCTGCTAAAAAAGTTTGTGCAACATTTATGCAGGCTTTTCTTTGCAATATTTATTCATTTGATTTTTATGATATTTAGCATTGTGCATTTGTTAAACTAAAGAGAACATGAACAGTGATCCCATAATAATAAAGCAGAACATTTTATTGTTGTATGTCAAAAAGATCATTAAACGTTGAAGTGCTGTAAGCATTTCTTTTATGGTTTGCAAATATTACCGGGGCTTCTGAATTGGTTTTTACTCTATATCTGAGTTTGAAACAGTCTTAAAATGAATTTGAATAGTGCTTTTACATCGGCCATAGTACAGGCTAGAGCTGTTTCCTCTTTAAGGCACAGCACTTTTTTATGTCTGATGGCTGTAAATTATAATTTTCACTGATGACATTGGGACAGTGTCCACTGGTAGTTTATACACTTTTGAATACAGTTTGTGCTGTAAACGTGCAGTACATGCTAACTTGTAATATCTATACATTGTAATAAATGATTTTTTTGTCACAGAAGACCAATGAATGTTTGGTAATGGATGCTTTATAATGGATGAATAAATAAACCAAAACATTGTAGTTACAGCCTTCAGTCAGTTTTCCTATTTCTATTGTTACCTGTCGATGAAAAGGAAACTGAAATGGGACCGTCTTATGCAAAAAAAATCACTCCATTAACCTGTTTCAATGAGTCTATCTCGTTATAGTCTGGCAAGTTGGAATTTATCTGAACCTACATATTTATGTGTATAGTTGAATATTCACCTGAAATGAGAACAATGTTGGAAATATTAGACTCCCATATGTATCAGTGAGGTTTTGAATAAATGCGGTACTTGTCAAACTAAAACATAATATTTGCCAGTACATTTTTACATTTTGATACTTTAAGCAATATTCCAGGACGATATGTGTGAGTATGAAAAAAAATAATGTTGGCTTTAACATTTATGACTGATGGTTTCGGCTGTAAGATTCAAACGATTTCATTATGTGGTAAAAAAAAATCTGTTTTTAACAATGTAAAAAATATCTTGAAATTGATTTACACCATTTTAAATTAGGGGATGGGAATGATGAAACTCGATGGGCAACAATCCTTTATAATGGGTCTTACCTCAGTTGGTCTTTTCCAACAAACCAATAACGGTTTGCTCCTGAATCGCTATAATAAAATTAACCAGAAAGTTTTTGTTTCAAATTCTTTGAAACTACCTAATGATTGTGCAATAATAATAATACTTATATTTAATATAGCGCCTGATCTTGTCTTCGAGACATCTCAAAAGTGCTTCACAGAATATACTGTAAAGCAAATGACTATATTTTGTGGGCAAAATGCGGCAGCCAATTGCACACAGCAGTGTCCCACAAACAGTCGTGGATTGGGTGATCAAATTATTATTATGTTTTTACGGGATTATTACCCTAAAGTGATGCACCAATGGATTGTGGAGTGAGGAAACTTGCCCAATGTTTCGTCCTGCCCGGGAATCAAACCCAGGTCCTCTCGCTTGTGAGGCGAGCCCTCTTAACTACTAAATTACAGGACTCCAATTGCAGTATTGATCAGGTAATCGTATTCTACAGTTATTAATCTGGGGAAATAATCTGAAAATTAATGTTATCAGATGATACCTTTACATTTAAACTGAATGGTAAACTTAATTTATGAATGAAAGATTGAACCACAAAAGTTAGATCCTGGTCCCTTAATTTCAGAACTTGTTTTACTCTAAGGTACTTTTTAACTTATTGGAGCTCCAATGCTGCTGCCATGTGCTTTCAGCAGGGATTACCACTGACGATTAAGAGGTGGTGTTTATGTGGAGTAACTTTCTGTAGGTGACTCGACCATTGAAGTCAACCTGTAAACATTCAGCGACTTGAGATACCCAACTGTGAAAGATGTGACGATTTTACAACATCTTTTAACCTTCAAACAACCAGGATTAACTTCCTTTATAAACCAACGTTGTTTAAACTAAGCTGCTTGAAGGAAAGCAATGTCCATGTGTGTTTAAAAAAATGTTATGTCAAACAAAGTAAGATGTAGTTCCACAGGGAATATGAAATAGTTTGCCTTACTCAAAAATATAATAATGCTGGAATGCCATAATGTTTCCAAATTCCCAAAATACATTATTGTAATAGTTGGGAGGGAAAGCGATTGGTAGCGATTACTTTAACCTGTTAATCACATTTGCAGCCTGCTGTATTTGAAGAATAAAATGTTACAAAGAAAATGAGTGTCTCATTGACTTTCTCAGCTAAATCTATTGGCAGGTTCTCCATCTAAAACTATTGTATTTCCAAGAAGCACAAGGTTAAAGTTTGCTGTATACTGTATTCCTGTTCATAGATAACGTGCCTTTTTCAAGTCACACTGTAGCAAATGCATCCTGTGCACGGTTTGAGGAGATAAATGTACGTGGTAATCTCATGTTGTAGTTGTGTTGGAGGAGATATGGATATGAAGAGATGAGCGATTAATGTTACCCTTTCTTAGCTGGGATCGTCAAGAAAGCCTCGGTGACTGGAGAACAGAAAAGTCAGCTAAAATCTGACGGCTATCTAGTGAGCCCGAAAGGAAGTGCAAGGAACATTCACTGTGAAGGCCAAAATGTAAGATGAGGTAATGAAACACATGGACGCATATGGACGCAAGCTGTAGGATATTGCTTTTAAGAAGTTAAATAGGAATTGAGAAAGCGCCAAATAAAAGAAGCAGGATGTATAAAAGGATCCTGGGAAGGGAACCAGGGTGTGGGTTTATGGTCGGAGTATAGGATGGTTATGAGCAGAGAATAAAGGAATCATTAGGAAAGCTATACGATTTGGCAAGAAGAGGGGGTTTATTCATATGTGAAGTGCCTGAACTGAAGAAGCTTCTGAACAAGGTGCAACCTGTTTGATTTCACAGTCTACGTGAAACATAGCAGTTGTCGGGTTATAGTATAATTAAATTATGTTTTGCTGCTGCATGCAGAATGGTGCCCGCTTTTACTGCTCAATGATGTGTAAAATAAATGCTTTATAATCTTAACTTGGTAATAAGATGGAGGCTTTTTGTCCCCAAAGACAATCTGGCAGAGGGGTTATGTTTCCCCCTTTACATGGTTGCCCTGGCTATCTGCTAAATATCTTCCCTGTGCTGTCTTGTTCATCTTTGATTCTGCCTTGTTTCGTCTGCTTGGAGGTGATGGATGGACTGAGGCATGAAAGGACAAAGGAACCCATCCCGGATCGCGTCTGTGCTATTTAGTTTACCTGAGGAAGTGACTCACAAAATTGTTCCTGTCAAAGATCCTTTGAAAATGGGAGTTGTGCCAGACAATTGGGAGGAGGAGGAGGAGGTGGAAAGTAACTTTACTGTTTAAAACTGGCTAGGAATATCGTAAATATTCAGAAAACGAACAGTGTCTTTTATAAGAAACGCTTTTATTATAAGACATTTTAGACACTTCTTGTGTAAGTCGATAAGGCAGGTGAGTATGCATGTGTTTTTAAAGATGTTTGAAAATATTTTCTCTGAAAAATACCAGTTTCATTCTGGTGACGTGGATTTAGAAGACATGTAATGGTGATGTGCGATTAGAATCCATACACGTCACTCAATTTCTTCGGTTGTTTCTTCAGGAACTTCCTTTTCTCATCAGTTAGACTTTCATGTTTGTCTACACAGGCCAGGATAAACAGCCTGAATTCATTGTAGGTTAAGTGCTGGTTCATAGGAATAAACACAGAGTCGAAAAAAATTAATACTTTTCAAATCCCATTTCCATAATAGCATAATATATAATAATCCTTGCATTTGATATAGCGCTTTTCACGTCTTCTAGACGTCTCAAAGAGCTTCACAGAATATACTGTAAAGTGAATTGACTGTATATTTGTATATAATAATAATCCTTGCATGTGCACTAAACTTCACATTTCTGACAAATTTATCCTTTTTCTATTTATTCTGTGAAGTGCTTTGAGCCATCTGATAAGGGGCTATATCAAATGTAAGGATTATTATATTGTCACAATAATCATTCAAAACTGCATTTTCTTTCACAGGCAGAGAAGAAAGAGGAATGAAAATTCCCAACTTTCCCAACTTACCTCATCACCAGTTCCGGCATATTCCTGAAACAATTGGAGGTAAGCTCGTTCTTTCATGTTAAAGAGAAATCCTGAAGCACAAAATTCTGCAACGGAGATGGTGCGACCTCCATCAATGTCAAAGAGGTCGAAAATAGGGCGAGAATGGCGATAAAGAAACTGCTTTTCTATGCAATCCTAGACATTTCAAACAAAATAGCATCTGTGTATAGGTGTGTTGGCAATAGCTGTGTGTAATCACACAGTAATTTGATATCTAACCCATTATTCTTGTGGCCCTGCATCCAAAACAACATTTTAAAAAATAAACAACTCCACACAGTCGAGCGTAGATTCAATGCACTGGTGATTACATTGCCAATGCACTGGTGATTACATTGCCAATTGCTATAAGAAACAATCCACAGGTCTGCCAAAGTTAACATCTCTGTTAGCAGAGAGTTGCAAAAAATAATGCTTATTGAACTCTGAGCTGATTCAAATAATGTTCCACAGCTTGTTTTTTTTAAACAGCTGCTTTTAAACCTGGTCTACAGATTTTTTGTGGCTGAATGTCATTTCATCATTCTCAATAGCAACAACTAATTAAATTTACCACAACAACAGCAGCAACAAACAAGAAATTACATTTGTTTAGCTCCTTTCATGTCAGGAGGTCATCCTAATGCGCTGGACAGTCAGAGATCCACATCTGAGCTGGTGGTTGGGATCAGGAGGGGTGGAGGGCGGGGAGGGTAGGGGTAGGAGGATGACCGAAGGCATGGTTGCAGAGGAGGGTCTTGAGAGGGGTCTTGAAGGAGGCAAGGGACGGGGCGAGACGGAGGGACTGTGGGATAGAGTTCCAGAAGGTGGGGGAAGAGAAGGGATTGCACCCAAGCTGGGAGTTGGAGTCAAGAATGGTGGAGGGCTAACTTGTTGCCATTCTGTTATAATAATCATACTAATAATCTCTTTTTTTGTTGGGCTAAATTAAAGACATACCTTGTTAGCAATTATGATTGCAACCAACATGTAAAATTCTTCAAAGCCAATTTCTCCGTTACCTTTCCAATCAAACATATCAAAAACGTACATTATTTGGAAATTGGACAGATCTGTGATATGGTGAAGAAAGTGGTAAAACTGAACATCTGTAAGACAAAAGTAATGGGCAGTAAATGTGATGTAAAGTGTATTGGAAAAACATCTCAATTGGAGATGTGTCAGTTATACACAATAGTCTAATGGATTTCTTACACCTTCATCCCCCAGAGCATAGAGTTCAAAATCCTCATCCTTGCCTTCAAGGCCCTCCACAGCCATTCTCCTTCCCTACCTCTGTGATCTGCTAATCTTATACCAACCTGTCCACTCCCTCCGCTCAGCAGGCTCCAGCCTGCTTCACGTCCCCTCACCCGGCCCACCCACCATTGGCGGTCGGGCCTTCAGTCTCTCTGCCCCCACCCTTTAGAACTCCATCCCACAGTTCCTTCACCTTGCTCCCTCCCTCGACTCCTGCAAGGCACATCTCAAGACCTTCCTCTTCAACGTTGACTACCCTCCCTGCCTTCCACCCTCCCTGTTCCCAATCCCCCCTCCCCCCGCTCGGGTCCAAATCCCTGATTGTCCAGCACTTTGGGTCGTCCACCCGACATGAAAGGGGTTATAAAAATATAATTTTGGAAGATAAGTGTTAGGAACATCAGAATGTATAGACCATTACAATCCACCTGTCTCTTTCTCAAATACTTTATTTCATAGTCTCACATACTCCCGTATCCTCTTCATCATCGCTACGGAGTCTCGTTTGTTTTGCCTTTTAATATATGTAATAGTTCAATAAGGTCTCCTTCAAAATAGTCTAGGCTGAAACTCAGTCATTGTTTTGAAGGGATTATTACTCCCAGAAAAGTGGTCCACCAATTGACTAACAACCGGGTTCCTACTTACTGCTAGGTAAACAGTGGTGTGTGGAGTAAAGAAACATGTCCAATGTTTTGCCCAACGTTTTGCCCAATGACAAATGTAAGGAATGTCATGTCTTTTCAATGTACATGTTCCCAGTTTCTTCAATCTCTCCTTGTACCTTAAATGCCTAACTCCATGCATTAATTTACCCTTCATTGTACCTTCTCCAATACTGAAACGATCTTTGATCAGTTCGATTTGGGAACATACACAATGCAAACATCATCGTTACATAAAGAAAATCCTACTAGAATATAGCTCGGCTATTCCTCACTGCTGGAACTAAGTTACTCACGATTTTAATTCGTACCATTTAAAGTTCTTTTCTCATGAACATCCAGAATCTTAAAGTATTCTAACAACACTTTGGTATTTCTGACTGACATTAGAATATGAATTCTGTCAAGATATATATGATTGAAAACAACTCCAGGTTTCAGCTTCATTTTGGAATTGGTGTTAATGTTGAATTACAGGTCTGTAGGAGTGATGATTTTGCTACTGGCAGATCCCGCAAGCCATCAATGGTTTGATGGAAATCTAAACAATTGTGAACTAATAAAGGTGAGATCATATATTCCAACACAGATGATGACATCACATCAAGAGCAATCCAAGTGAATGATCGCTGCTGATTGTTTTATAACAAATACCTTCAGATTTTCTCACCTCTTAGACAAAGAACATGTTATTAACTGTTGTTTTCTTACAAAACTACATTAAGTGGTTTAAAAGAAAAACTCTTTCCTTGGTAACTGGGTGTCTGACAATAAGACTGCAAAGCATTCTGTTTTACAGGTCTTCAGTCACAACATCACTGATTGGCTGCAATATGGCCCGTAGTTAGAATGTGAAATTATTAATGGTTACAGGTTAATTCATGTGTGAGTTTCAAGAGAAGTCATTATTTAACTTTATTCCTTGTACCTTGAACGTCTCACCATGGCCTTTGGTTTGTTTTCAGTACATGATTGGTGGGGAGGGGGTTGGAATAAGACTTTAAATCTAAGTATCGTTAACAACAGCAAACTAGATTTGTAGAGCGCCTTTCACGTCTGGAGGACGTCCCAAGGTGCTGGACAGTCAGGGATCTATACCTGAGCTGGTGGTTGGGATCAGGAGGGCTGGAGGGTGGAGAGGGTAGGGGTAGAAGGGTGACCAAAGGCACGGTCGAAGAGGAGGATCTTGAGACAGGTCTTGAAGGAGGCAAGGGAGGGGGCGAGGTGGAGGGGCTGTGGGATGGAGCACCAGAGGATGGGGCAGAGTGGCTGAAGGTTCGCCTGCCAATGGTGGGGCGGGCGAGGCGGGAGGGCGTGAAGCAGGCTGGAGCCCGCTGAGCGGAGCGAGCAGACAGGTTGGTAGGGGATTAGGAGGTCGCAGAGGTAGTTATCAAATGTTTATTAATGGTTCGTATCACAATTGAGGTAGTTGGAATTTTGGCACATTTATTAACTGGTAGAACAGAAATCAACCATGTGTGCAGATTAATCCAGTTAATTTAGCCAATAAGAAAGTATTGTTCTATGTGAGCTGAATGCTTCACTGCAGCTGCTGCAGAGTTCTGAAATGCTTCCCCCTCAGACAGGTGCAACTGCTCACTACGTTTTAACAAATGGTATGTCCAAGGCATTTGTAACGTCATGGTTTCAATATTACTAGTATTTCTTTTAACGGGCAATGAGTTTCTTCCAGCATTTGCAGGCATTTCAGTTCAGTATTTTAATTTTGTTGTAATAAAATCAACGTGGCCTGGGATGTTACTTTACTCGGGTTTAATTCCTGCAATTGCACGGATTTCTGATTTCATTCACAATCCTGGAAAAGATCCCTTCTTACAGGGAAGGAGGAAAAATCAGAATGAACGTAATCACTCAGCTACAACAGGAACTGGCTTTGGAAACCATTGGTGCAGTTTGGGAATAAGCTGCCCAACAGTTCTTGCTGTGTCATATATTGCATTTGGTACGGAATAAATTGAAGTGGATCAACACTACTCAAACCCCCCCCCAGCTTTAAACCTACAATCCATAGGATAGACTTCACAATCCTCGCCCTTGCCTTCAAGGCCCTCCATGGCCTTGCTCCTCCCTACCTCTGCAACCTGCTGATCCCATATCAACCTGTCCATTCCCTCCGCTCAGCAGGTTGTGGCCTCTCCACACCCCCACCCGGCCCTGCCCCACCATTGACAGTCGGGCCTTCAGCCTTTCTGCCCCCACCCTATGGAATTCCCTTCTCCTCGCTCCCTCGATTGCCTCCTTCAAGGCACATCTCAAAACCCTCTTCTTTGCTCTTTGACCGAGCCTTCGGCCACCTTCCTACCCTCCCTCCACCCTCCCCGATCCCGACCCCAGCTCAGGTCCAAATCCCTGACCGTCCAACAATTTAGGACGTCCTCCTGACATGAAAGGTGCTATAGAAATGTAATTTTGTATTGTATTGTAACTACCAGCATTCAACAGTATAAACGTGGAGAAACTGAAATAGTAAATATCTGTCCTCCTTCTCAAAGGAAGTGATGGGCATTCCCACATCACGGTTTAATAATCTCCCAGGGGAATTAATAAATGTTCATTATTCCCCAACCTCTCTGGCTGGGCTTGTCTGGTTTGATACGCATGACTCAAGAGGAAGTTTGTCCAGGTGAATATTTCAATGAATCATATTAGGGAAAATTTTATGGAGGACAATCTGAATTGTGCCTTTAGGTATTTTCTTCATTTGTCAATCTCTGCATACAAATATCCCATTATCTGTAAGGGGAAAAAGATCAAGGTGAAAAGTTTCAAATCTTAATTAGCTGTCAAATGTGAGTGTCCTCATTGAGTGCCTATACTTGCTCTGAACCACATCATCAGGATGTTTTTACCAACGTTGCTTTAATTATTGTTTTCAGATGTTTCATCTTTCTCATGTTTTTCTTATTATTGAAAAGTTTCTGTTTGCACTTTTGGATGAGGTTGTATGAGACTTGTGAATGCTGTACTTTCAGCCAGCCTTCTGTTTCTTTTCCAGTCTTGTATCAGATCAACGTTCTACCATTTCTAGTGTTCCACACAATATTGGAGTTCTGTAGATTAGTGGTTAGAGCACTCGCCTCGCAAGCGAGACACCTGGGTTTGATTCCCGAGCAGGGCAAAACGTTAGGCAAGTTTCCTTACTCCACACGCCTCTGTTTACCTAGCAGTAAGTAGAAACCCGGGTTGTTGGTCGATTGGCGGATCGCTTTTCCGGTGGTAATAATTCCTTAAAAAAATAAAAATTTGGTCACTCAATCCATGACATGATAAGGCGCTATATCAAATACAAGAATTATTATTATTATTATATTTGGAATTGTTATCTTCCAAATGAAACAAATAAAAAATAACTGTATGATGTAATTGTGATTCCCTTCAACTGATAACTACAGACAGTTGTTTCCCAGACAAGATGGCAAAGCACAAGACATGGAGACAGACAGAACAAACACAAGATCGGGAACAAGAAAGATGTTATTTGGTGGAAACACCAGGTGTTTCTAATTTGCTGTTTCCTCCCGAGGCAGGTCTGTCACAGTCATCCCTACACTGTCTCGCACAGACGATCAAATGACAGATTGATTACTATCTCAGTAATAAAGATTGAAGTGAAGGGTAAATCTGAAGAGGATGTGGGAGACAACGGTTCCAAGTCAACTTGTCCTCAAATAGTTCCTCATACGCTGGGGAAAGGGCCTTTCAAGAGCTCATTGTGTACCAAGTGCCAGATGTGAGTACACACTTACTTCACCGAGAAGCAATGGTATTATTGCACCGGTGTGTTAAGCCCAACAAACTGCCTCAGCTCAGCGCTTAAATGAACCAGGTTCCTACTTACTACTGGTCAATGAAAGCGTGTGGAATGAGGAAACTTGTCCAACTTTTGCCTTGCTCGGGAATCAAACCCAGGTCCTTCCGCTTGCAAGACAAGTGCTCCAACCACTTAGCTACAGGGCTCCACATTGTCCTTTCACTACAGAGTTTGAATCCCTCCAGACTGGCAGGATGGAAGCTTTCTCTCCGATAAAGCTCCTAAATTAATTCTCAACTCAGATCTTCAGGGCTATAAATCCATAACACAAAACTAATAAACGTTTAATCACTGATTGGCACAAATTAGAAATTTATCCCAGAAAGGATGATCAGATCTTCAAGGGCTATAAATCCATAACACAAAACTAATAAACGTTTAATCACTGATTGGCACAAATTAGAAATTTATCCAGAAAGGATGATCAGATCTTCAAGGGCTATAAATCCATAACACAAAACTAATAAACGTTTAATCACTGATTGGCACAAATTAGAAATTTATCCCAGAAAGGATGATCTTGTGTAGAAATCAAATAACAACACACAGCAACCCCGAAGGAGTAAATCAGGTCAGTTGTTGGATTAGAGTTCAGGGAAATAATCTATCCTATTATAGGGTGTACAAAGTACAAAAATGTTAAGCACTCCGGAACTGGAATAACTTGTTCTGCTGATCAGCATTCCTCATCCATGGTATGACTGGAGCACAACATGGTGTAATTTCTACACAAAGAAATGATGTTTTACTGGACGCTCTTAATGGAATTTGACACATATTGCTTGCTTGTAAAATGTCTGATTCAAAACTCTCTGTCTGTTGTGTGTAGCTCTGATGGATTAAATACGGTAACACGGGGTGACAGAGAGACTGGCTTTACGTAACATTTTGTTATGTAACATTTTAGGATTTTGTGTCGTTCCGATCCTCTCTACTTCATCTTTGGAGATGTATTTAATATTGTTTTATCGACTAAAATACAATCTTTAGCTTCAATGGAACGAGTATCAGGAATCAGCGGCTAAGAGCGTAGGGAGAGCTGAAGGAATATATACCATTTAAATGTAAGTACTGCATTAGGGATGCTGCCCGGGGAAAATTAGATCCTGTATTGAAATGTAAATTATCATCTTTTCGCTGATATTTTAAGGGGTGAAGAAAAAAATGACAAATTGCAGAAGAGGCTGGTGCAGCAATGCAGCATTGCTATTTCTGTTTGTGAACGGAGCCACGTAACCCTGTGCAGACAGTGTTGCATATTATTGACTATGCCTCGGTCACAAGGCAAGAAACCTCATCAGTATAAGTACATTACAGCAGAAATCTTAGGGAATTATTCACTCAGACACTCAGGGTAAAATCCCACTGATCGGTACACGTGGTGGGACTGTACTGTATGTACTAGCAGAAGGGAAGTCCCTAAGTGTTCATGCAAAAACCAAGTTTGACTTTATATTTCCTGTGAGAATCTTTCTGACTACGTCTGTTACTCAGTTGCTTGACGTTGAAGGATGAGGAGGATTCACGGAGCGAGAGAACCAAGGTAGAGGAATGTAAAGCGCTCCGGAGAAAACAATCATCACAAATAGAAACAACAGCACAAAGAAAGGTGAGG